CTGTCTCCCCTCTCCCTATCTCCCCTTCTCCTGTCTTCCTTCTCCCTCTCTCCCCTCCCTCTCCCTCTCCCTCTCTCTCTCCTTCTCCCTCTCTCTCTCTCCCTCTGACTCGAGGGAGCTGACCTACATGAACCAACATGGGGTTTTATTTCCCATATAAAATTGGCAAGGGGGACCAGTATTTTTTTCTATTTAGGATATGTATCTATGGTATATATATAGTTGTAAATGGATACGCTTACATGAACATAAACACAGACAAAGACAAAGAAACACACGTTAGGCTTATTGCAACGTACAGCATTAACAAAGAAGAGAGAGAGAGAGAGAGTGTGTGTGTGTGTGAGAGAGAGAGAGAGAGAGAGTGTGTGTGTGTGAGAGAGAGAGAGAAAGAGAGATAGAGAGAGAGAGAGAGAGAGAGAGAGAGAGAGAGAGAGAGAGAGAGAGAGAGAGAGAGAGAGAGAGAGAGAGAGAGAGAGAGAGAGAGAGAGAGAGAGAGAGAGAGAGAGAGAGAGAGAGAGAGAGAATGAGTTTGTGCGTATGAGTGTTAAGACACGTATGTATAGTTAATAACCAAATGTATATAATTAACTCAGATATTGAAATCAGAATCATATTTAGTTCAATATCTAAGCCGTAATTACACCTGTTTTTAACATATTCATACATCGTTACGTTTTTCTCCATGATTACAGAATAAGCCTATTCCCTCTGCTTTTATATTCCCTAGTATGTGTATGTGTTTGTTTGTGTGTGTGTGAGTGTGTGTGTATGTGTGTGTGTGTGTGTGTGTTTGTGAGTGTGTGTGTATGTGAGTGTGTGTGTGTTTGTGTGTGTGTGAGTGTGTGTGAGTGTATGTGTGTGTATGTGTGTGTGTGAGTGTGTGTGTATGTGTGTGTGTGTGTGTGTGTGTGTGTGTGTGTGTGTGTGTGTGTGTGTGTGTGTGTGTGTGTGTGTGTGTGTGTGTGTGTGTGTATGTGTGTGTGTGTGTGTGTGTGTGTGTGTGTGTGTGTGTGTGTGTGTGTGTGTGTGTGTGTGTGTGTGAGAGTGAGTGAATGAATGAGTGAGTGACTGAGCGAGTGATTGAATGAGTGAATGAGTGTACGTGTATATGCGTGTATGTACATGTCTCAAAAATCTCCCCTTCACATCTACGAGTATTGTTTCCTCACAATGCACACAATTTCAAACTAAAAAGCGTATTTATGACACGCGCGACAAAGACAGATTCTAGTGACAGCGATAGCAAGTGTTTGTAGCGGAGGATAACCTAGATTCTGAGCTTGTTTATCGGTGTTTCTGACCATAATTAAAACGGAGGAAGGAAGAAGATGAGAAGGCAGCAAGCAAGAGGAGAGGACGTGATGGGTGTATGTGGTAAAGGGGGGGGGGGGGCGGAATCTGTTTTTGAATGCGTCTGTGTATATACATACACACATGCATGTATACCTACATACACACATGCATGTATACCTACATACACAAATGCATGCATATACACACACACACATACACATGTGTGTATGGAGAGAAGGAAAGAGAGAGAAAGAGAGAGAGAGAGAGAGAGAGAGAGAGAGAGAGAGAGAGAGAGAGAGAGAGAGAGAGAGAGAGAGAGAGAGAGAGAGAGAGAGAGAGAGAGAGAGAGAGAGAGAGAGAGAGAGAGAGAGAGAACGAAGGAGAGAGAGAATGAGAGCAAGAAAATGAAGGAAAGAAACAGTAGGGATAAAGAGAGAAGAAATAGGAAAAGAAAAAGAAAAAAGAAAAGAAAAGTAAAGAATAGAAAACGAAAGAAGGAAAGCAACATAATCGGGAAAGAAAAAACAGAGAGAGATCCAACACGATTAATTCCCACTCAGACTTATAGCAAACTAAACCAATAAACCTTCAGCAGAAAAGTGTCCCTCCGTCTTATAAACTTCTCACCTCCCCCCTCCCCCTCCCCCCCCTTCCAACCCTTTTTCCAAGTGGGTTCACAAGACGACCAATGAGCTTTAAGAAGAAAAAAAAAGGAAAATAGGATGGCAGTGATAAGAAATGGTAGATTCTATTAAGTACCAGCAAACTGTCTCTTATGCCAGGACTATCATCTTTATCGACATTATATAATATATGCTATTGTTATTACTACTATTACTCGTATTGCCACAATGCTCGTAATATTATTGTTGTTGTTATTGTTGTTATTTATTACTATCGTTATTATTATTGTTATCATTATTATCATTATTATTATTATTATTATTATTATCATTATTATCATTATTATTATTATTATTATTATTATTATTATTATTATTATTATTATTATTATTATTATTATTGTTACCATTATTATTATCATTATTATTACAATTGTTATTATTATTATTATTATTATTATTGTGTTATTCTCTCCAGTACTTTGATGTTCTTCTGGGTCATTATTATTATTATTATTATTATTATTATTATTATTATTATTATTATTATTATTATTATTATTATTATTGTTATTATTGTTATCATTCTTATTATTATTATTATTATTATTATCATTATTATTATTATTATTATTATTATTATTATTATTATTATTATTATTATTATTATTATTATTATTATTATTATTGTTATTATTGTTATCATTCTTATTATTATTATTATTATTATCATTATCATTATCATTACAATTATTATTATTATTATCATTATTATTATTATTATTATTATTATTATTGTTATTATTATTATTATTATTCTTATTATTATTATTATCATTATTATCATTATTATTATCATTATCATTATCTTTGTTGTGATTATTGTTATCATTCTTCTTCTTCTTCTTCTTCTTCTTCTTCTTCTTCTTCTTCTTCTTCTTATTATTATTATTATTATTAATATTATTATTATTATTATTATTATTATTATTATCATTATTATTATTATTATTATTATTATTATTATTATTATTATTATTATTATTATTATCATTATTATTATCATCTTATTATTATTATTATCTTATTATTATTATTATTATTATTATTTATTATTATTATTATTATTTATTATTATTATCATTACTATCATTATCATTATCATTATTATTATTATTGTTATTATTGTTATCATTCTTCTTCTTCTTCTTCTTCTTCTTCTTCTTCTTCTTCTTCTTCTTA